TCTTTCTTTCTTTCTTTTTCTTTCTTTCTTTCTTTCTTTCCTTTTTCTTTCTTTCTTTCTCTCTCTCTCTCTCTCTTATCTTTTCTTTCTTTCTTTCTTTCCTGCAGTCATGAGACTGGGAAAGAGTAGACCAAGGAGCTGGATCTGTAACACTCTGAACTATCAACTGAGATGACTCGCCACCTTCAGACCAGCCTGAAAGCTCTTTCCTGTAATGAGTGAAAATGTGCTCCAGACAGAGTTCTGCCAAGGACGCTCAAGCAAAACTTATTTCATTTTAATTGTTTGGAGCAGTGGATGGCAACAGTGAGATGAACTAATATCAACACTCCAGTTGGTTCCCTTAAAATGGGTTCAACGTATTCTCTACTTGGACATGACAGAGTTCTAGCGATGAGGCTCATCAGTGTCTCTGAGTCCTGGTGATTTTACCGAGGACACCTGGAGGCTGATTCTGACTGAGGCTGTTATCTGGCCTCTATAGTGGGCGCGCCATGGGAGAGGAACAGCTGACTAAGGTCTGTGAGCCCATTCATGCCTCAGACATCACTGAAAGCCAAAGTTTCCAGCCTCAGCGCCACCGACATTCTGGACCAGATGGTCTCGTCCCGTGGGTCATGAGACATTCAGTGGCATCCCTGGCCCCTGCCCATCAGCTGCCAGAGTACACACTTCCTCTTCCCAGGTCACGAAGATAAAAAATGTCCCCAGGTATTGCCAGTGTCCCCTGGGGGACGAAGTCAGCCCCAGGTTAGTGCCACCGGTGTGGGCTGTGTTGAAGACCTCCTTTGGTCTCAGCTTAGTGCCTTTAGTGATCCTTCTTCAAGAGAATATGTGGCCGGGCACGGTGGCTCATGCCTGTAATCCCAGCACTTTGGGAGGCCAAGGCGGGCAGATCAGGCCAAGGTCAGGAGTTCAAGATGAGTGTGGCCAACATAGTGAAACCCCGTCTCTACTAAAAGTACAAAAAATTAGCCAGATGTCGTGGTATTTGCCTGTAATCTCAGCTACTCAGGAGGCTGAGGCGATCGACTGAACCCGGGAGGCAGAGGTTGTGGTGAGCTGAGATCAAGCCATTGCACTCCAGCCCAGGCGAGACTCTGTCTCAAAATAAAAATAAAAATAAAAAAACAGAGAGAGAAAGACAGAGAATATGCCACCCAGGAACTTAGCACACCCTCGTAGGGGAGAGCCAGACAGTGTTACACTGAGAACAGGAATTTTTTTTCATTACATAGAAAAGCTGACCAAGGAGAAATGCTTCTTTTTCTTCCTCCATTCCAGTTAAGATTGCCCATTGTGCTGTTGACAAGCTTAGCTCCTATTAGTTTGGCTATTAGTGAACTAGTTCTGCTTTTTTGTGTGTGTGTGATTTTTCTCAATCAACATGAGGACACCTTTGAATCACGGATAACGTCACATATTCCATTTGAAGCTTGAGGTTAGAGGACACTCAAAATCAGGTTTGATCCATAGAATAATAAGGAAGGCTGAAGAGTGATTTTTGGTTTCTTAAGAAGCTATTGGAACAATTTGTCGTAATCAGTCAGGTAGTCAATAGAAACAAAACTTACGGGAGGAAAATAATCACTAGTGTAGGTAATACAAATTTAATTGATTTGCATTTATTATTAAAAATGAATGGATAATTTCTCAGAGTTAAATATTTATAGCTCCAATTCAAAAAATTGATCTCTATGCTTTGTATTCGTAAAGCAAACAGATAGGTATACTTAACATTGTTTCAAATTATGCCAGAGAAACAGCTGCGTGTGAGCTGGTACAGTAGGTAGTGGTGAACGTTTTGTATTTTCCCAGTTTTATTGTTGTTTTAAATTTTAAACTTCATTTGTACCTATACATGTTTTATTTCCAGTTTATTTAAAAATAGCTTACTGTAAATTTAATTTATGAGTGTTAAGTAGAGAGTTTAATTGTGTAAACTTGGAGCTGTGGCTTTTCCACACGGAGAGAGAAGGTGGAGAATGGCATCTGCAGTTAAAGTGTGTCCCACGTGCTGGGGCATTTCCCACAGTCACCTCACTTTTTACCAGAAGGAAGCAGAGACTCAAGTAATTTGCCGTCAAAGCCCATAGACAACACATACAACAAAACCAAGTGACAAACTCGAGCAGGTGGGAATAGTCATCAACAACTAAAAAGTTCTCCCAGTATCGGCATCTGTGTCCGAAACCAGGGTCATCTCACGGCCTCGGGAGCGGAGGAGGCCTCGGGCAGCCTGGGTGCTGCACAGCGAGCCCGCGGGACAGAAGCCCCGGCCAGGACGGGTGCTGCAGATTCCTACTAAGAGACTGCAATTGGCCCTTGGCAAACTCTGAAGGGCCAAGGCTGGCTGGACCCCATAAATGGCTGAAAGCTTCCTTCCCGAGCAGAGCTCCGTTCTGGGGGAGAGGTGCTGAGATCTGAAGCAAATCAAGCAGGAGAGAGACACGAAGAACAAAGGAAAATGGAAGCCCAGGCAACAGTGAGGGAGAACAGAGGCTCATCTCAGAAAGTGCGACACCATCTTTTTATTCACTTTGTGAAAGCAACAGAAGTAACAGAAGATGGACTTCTCTGCCAGCAAGTTAGATAACTTAGATCAAATGAGCCAGTTCCTAGAAAAACAGAAACTGCTAAAAGAGACTCAAGAAGAAATGGAAAATCAAGTAGGCTTACAACAAGTAGGGGTTTAATTGGTAATTAAAACTTTTTCTGCAAAGAGAAGCCCAGGTCCACGTGGCTTAACTTGTGAATTCTACCAAACACTTGAAGAAGAAATGATACCAAACCTTCATAAATCCTTTCAAAAAAAAAAAAAAAAAAGAAAAAGAGAAGAGGAAGAAACACATTCTAACTCATCCAATGAGGTCAGTATCATCCTGATGCCAAAACCAGGCTGACTTGTGATCAATGGAGAAGAAAGCTACAGGCCGATATCCTCAGTGAGTCTCAGTGCAAACTCCTCGACAAAATACCAGCAAACCAAATCCAGCAACGTGGAAAAAAGATTCTATAACACAACCAAGTGGAATTTATCTCAAGAATGCAAGGGCAGTTCAATACCCAAAAATCAGTGTCACACAACACTTCCAAAGAGCACAGGACAAAACCAGCTGGTCATCTCAACAGGCACCAAAAAAGCATTTGAGAATCAAAATAAAAGCGCCTAACAAACCGGGGACAGAAGAGAACTTCCTCAGCCTGGCAGAGGCATCTATCTACAGAAAAGCCGCAGTTACTGACAAGAATCCTCATGCTTTCCTAGTAGCTCAGGAGCACGAGGGGGAGGTCTGCCCTCTGGTTTCTATTTAATGTTGTAATGGAGGCTCTAGATAAAACAGCACAGAATAAGGAGAGAATGAAAGACAGAAAGGAAGAGAGAAAGAAAGACAAGGTCCCTGTGCTGGGAATGAAGAAGTGAAATGATCTCTGTCTGAAATTTCATGAGAACAGTGCAGACTGCAGCAGGGCAGGCGCATTGTAAGTGGAGCAGGGTTGGCCGGTAGCTGGTAATGATGGATACACATTTACTTGAATTTTTTTTTTTTTGAGACGGAGTTTCACTCATGCTACCCAGGCTGGAGTGCAATGGCACGATCTTGGCTCACCGCAACCTCCGCCTCCTGGGTTCAGGCAATTCTTCTGCCTCAGCCTCCTGAGTAGCTGGGATTACAGGCACGTGCTACCATGCCCAGCTAATGTTTTGTATTTTTAGTAGAGACGGGGTTTCACCATGTTGACCAGGATGGTCTCGATCTCTTGACCTTGTGATCCACCCGCCTCGGCCTCCCAAAGTGCTGGGATTACAGGCTTGAGCCACCGCGCCCGGCTTGAATTTTTTTATATGCTTAAAACTTTATGCAACTTTTGGCCAGGTGCAGTGGCTCACACCTGTAATCCCACCATTTTGGGAGGCCAAGGTGGGCAGATCACTTGAGGACAGGAGTTCGAGACCAGTCTGGCCAACATGGCAAAACCCCGTCTCTATTAAAAATACAAAAACCAGCTGGGTGTGGTGGCGCACACCTGTAATCCTGGCTACTGGGGGGTGAGACAGGAGAATCACTTGAACCCACGAGGCGGAGGTTGCAGTGAGCCAAGATCACACCACTGCACTCCAGCCTGGGCGACCAAGTGAGACTCTGTCTCAGGAAATAAAAACAAAATTTTTTTGTAACTTTCAAATAACATTTAATATTGGAAGATGTTTTTAAAGGAATAGTAAACATTCTCAGAAAATTCAGAGATTTCTGAATCAAAAGGGAACTAAGCCACCTTTTCCTTATTCTTTTTGAGGCAGTTTAGCCAGATCCAAAGCTATTGGTTAATTTTACACAAATCAGAATCCATTAACTTTTCATTGAATCCAAGTCTATCACAAAATATCTAGTGAAATAGTTAGATTCTATTTTATTAATGGGAAAAACCCGACAGTGTGCTGTCTATGTACGTAGAGACATAAGTTGTTTCCACTGTTTTCCCCGTCATTCTTCCTTACGAAACATAAATAATTCACACATCCATTCCCTCTCCTCTTCCTCTAATTAACCTGTAATTAACCTAATGAATTCTTTAAGAACTCGGTTCCATGTCACTCTCCTGGGGCCTGGCCTCCCGGTGCTGCCCGGCTGGGCCGCAAGCCACTGCCACACGTGGGAGGCTCCGGCCCATTTCCCCAGTGTCTGCCTCTGGGTTTGCCGCATGCTCCTTGGTAAGATCAGGCGGTCGTGGTGAGTCTCCCTCACCGCCCTGTGTCTGTCCGTATTCGGCCACAGGCTGTGCCTGGCACACAGGACAGAGGATGAGCGTGGCAGAGCTGAGTGAGAAGATGTGAGAAGGGACGGATGAAGAGACGATGAACTCATGCTGTCACTCGCCCATGCCTCGCCCGTCATCATTGCACACCACACAGTATATAAAAAACATTTCCATGTTTTTCAGTATCTTCTCAGTACCTTCAGAAAGTACATCAAACTTAGCCATTTACACTTACTTATTTGGTTTATGATCCCTCTGTTTTTCATCTTTTAATATTTCTGTTTACTCGATAGGATTCTTCCCTTTGATCATTTCATATTTTTTATCAATGTAAAATTCGAGGCTGGGCACAGTGGCTCACACCTGTAATCCCAGCACTTCGGGAGGCTGAGTCGGGTGGATCACCTGAGGTGAGGAGTCTGAGACCAGCCTGGCCAGCATGGCGAAACTCCATCTCTGCTAAAAATACAAATATTAGCCGGGCATGGTGGCGGGAGCCTGTCATCCTAGCTACTCAGGAGGCTGAGGCAGGAGAATCACTTGAGCCCGGGAGGCAGGGGTTGCAGTGAGCAGAGATTGCACCACTGCACTCCAGCCTGGGAGACAGAAGCTGTCTTAAAAATAAATAAATAAATAAAACAAAATTCTGCTTGACCAGAACCATCCCATCATTAGGTTTTTTTAAAATGTCATGGTTTAATTAATTAATTTAATTGGCCCCTTCCAAAAGGAAGCTTATGAAGACATTTCATAGAACCTTAAAGAAAATCCTCACTTGTTGCATTTATTTTGTTAAATTGGTTTGAATATAAGAAGTCGTCGTTGAAGATTTACTTTACTTACAGAATGTCAGTAAATTTACCAGGAAAAACACTTGTACTGCCATTATGCACGTGCGCCCCAGAAGATGAGGCTGCTTCGTAATTAATGCCTCCAGCCCTAACATATGCAGCCATCTGTGCCCTCCTCTGTGCGGGCTGCTGGCTTGTTAATAATGCATTCACGTTTGTCTGTAGCCCACGAGTCGTATGACAGAAGGGATCAGAAAACACAGTCTATGTCACACAGTCCAAGTTGCTGGTTGGGTGTGGATAACAGGTCAGTTTATTATTAACTTCAGTTTTGGGTGAGAGTGATGTGACTCAAAATAATGTGACAAACTAGGAGAAGAACCTGTAATCCACTCCCAAACAGACCGTGCAGAGGCCAGCAGCCCGGCTGCAAGTGCTGAGGGCCTGGCCTCCTTGCAGCCCACCCCGCTTTGGGACAGCGGCACCCCGTCCAGCTCCCAGTGACATGAGAGCAGACAGGGCCACCCGGGCTCCTGCCTGGGCCCCCTTGTTCTACCCCGGCCCCTGCTGCATTTCCTGGGGAAATCACTCTCCATCCAGGCTGCCTGTCAGAGAAGGCCCTGGTGCTGTCATTGCCAAGTTTTGTTTGTTTCTTTTTGAGATGGAGTCTTGCTCTGTCGCCCAGTCTGGAGTGCAGTGGCACAGTCTCGGCTCACTGCAACCTCTGCCTCTTGGGTTCAAGTGATTCTCCTGCCTCAGCCTCCCAAGTAGCTGAGATTACACGCACGTGCCACCACGCCCAGCTAATTTTGTATTTTTAGTAGAGATGGGTTTTCACCATGTTGGCCAGGCTCGTCTCCAACTCCCAACCTCAGGTGACCTGCCCGCCTCAGCCTCCCAAAGTGCTGGGATTACAGGTGTGAGCCACTGTGCCAGGCCCATTGTCAGGTTTTAAATCCTGGCTTTTTACCTTCCTGCCTCTCGAGTCTTTTCTCCTACCTTCTCTAAGATGCTTACTGCTCCACACCTTTCAGGACACATGGAAAGTTCGGTGTGGGATCAAGCCCCAGCTTAAAGCACCCTCCACCGCACGATGTGAACGTCTGGCTGGTCATAAGGGCCTATGCTCAGCACAGTGTGACATTCTGCCGTCCGCCTGACTCATGGTGGACCAGCCCCTCTCCCTCCCCTCACAGACGCTCTGGTCTGAGTTCACCAGGATTGTGGTGTGTCCTGACCTGAACCTGCATCAGGGTCTCTCCAAGTCACCTTCATTTCCCACCAAGTTCCGCTCTGTTTAATTCTGCTTCACCCCTTCCTACCCCATTTTATTCTTTAGCAGTATCAGCCAACCTTCTGGTTTTCCAAATACCTAGTTCACCACTGTCCTCCTCTATCATGCTAAGATCACATTTAATCATTTGCAGTCCTCTCATTCCATGTTCTGCTCTGGCAGCGAGCGTGACACTTAGAGCCGGTCTGCGGTCGACACACCCTGGTGCCTGTGACGGGCCATCATGGCTGGCATCCGCCCCAGGGCTCTTCTGGTTGTTAAACATATTGACCATCTCTCCAGCTGTGTCAACCAGCAACTGTTGCTCCTGAATGTAGTATATGTATGTATGTATGTATGTGTGTGTGTGTGTGTGTGTGTGTGTGTATATATATATATTTTAGACGCAGTCTTTCTCTTGTCACCCAGGCTGGAGTGCAATGGCACAATCTTGGCTCGCTGAAACCTCCACCTCCTGGGTTGAAGCGACTCTCCTGCCTCAGCCTCCCAACTAGCTGGGACTACAGGCGCCTGCTATCACGCCCAGCTAATTTTTGTATTTTAGTAGAGATGGGGGTTTCACCATGTTGGCCAGACTGGTCTTGAACTCCTGACCTCAGGTAATACCCCCATCTCAGCCTCCCAAAGTGCTGGGATTACAGGCGTGAGCCATGGCACCCGGCCGAATCACGCTATCTTTAGAGTCAGAGGAAATTAACTGGAAGGATACAGGGGCCCACAGAATCGAAGGAGGCCAGGAAGCCAGGACTAGAAATGGCTCAGAAAACCACCAAGAGAGGCGGAGGAGCCGGCCACAGCGAGTCCGGCTGGGTCTGAGCCGCAAACACTCCTTTTGCCTTTGGGTCCCTGGTCCAGGAATAACAGCCATGCACTTTGGTCAAACAACACGCACCAGGGGACAGAACAAGGAGTCTCTCTCCTCACATTCCTGGTAGTCAAAGACCATCCCATGCCTGTTCCACACCAAATGGTCCCCTCCCATCTCTGGTGCTGAAGAGGGGGTGCAGTGAGGAGCAGCCGCTCGCCTGAAGCAGTAAGGGGCCAGTGGCTGTTGGAACTATCCTCCATCCAAGGCCATGCACAACTGCCCCTCCCGGAGGGAGAGCAGGGCCATAGAGGCAGGCATGGGTGGGTGCCTGCTGGGAAAGCTGCAAGCCCAGAAACCATCCCATGCCACCCAGCAGGCCCCACCAAGAGGAGAAACCTGCACCCCGCCTCCACGGGCAGAGGGAACACGCTGCACAGTTGACCTGTCAGGGAGCAGCTGGGGTGAACAAGGAGTGCATGGCAAATGCCAAAACACCTACCCCAAAGCCCCGCAGCCTGGGGGGGCTCACATTTGCAATGGGGGTGACTGTCAGGGTGACCAGTTTGCTTTGCAAAAAACGGTGGTGACGTGAACATCCCTCCACTGAAGGAATTCACAAAAGCAGTGCCAGAGACCATCACAGCATCAAATAATTACAGTTTAGCAGAGGGAGTGCCAAGAGAAGGCCGGACCCTGTGCCGCAGGATACCTGTGTTAGTCTCCCTCCCTCCCCCCCCCCTCCCTTTTTCCTTCCTTCCCCCCTCCCTCCCTCCTTTCCCCCTTCCTTCCCTCTTTTTTTTCTGTTTCTTTCTTTGTCTCTCCCTGTCTCTTTCCTTTTTTCCTTTCTTTCTTTTCTTCTTTCTTTCGTTTCTTCCTTTCTTCTTTCTTTCCTTCATTCCTTCCTCCTTCCTTCCTTCTCTCCTTCTTTCTTTCTGATGGAGTCTTGCTCTGTCACCCAGGCAGGAATGCAGTGGCACCTCCATCTCCCGGGTTCTAGAGATTCTCCTGTCTCAGCCTCTTGAGTAGCTGGGATTACTGGCACACACCGCCACACCCGGCTTTTATATATCTATATATGTATGTATATATATATATGTATGTATGTATATATATGTATTTTTAGTAGAGACAGGTTTTTGCCATGTTGCCCAGGCTGGTCTCAAACTCCTGAGCTCAGGGGATCCACCTGCCTTGGCCTCCCAAAGTGCTGGGATGACAGGTGTGAACCACCGTGCCCGGCCCCTGTAGTAGTTTCTTTTTGTTGCATAGCAAATAATCCCTGGCTGAGGTGCTTAGAACCACACACATTTCTCTCTCTTCATTTCCATGGGTCAGGAGTCTGGGTGTGATCCGCTGGCTCCTCTGATCAGGGCCTCACAAGGCTGAAGTCAAGGTGCTGCTGGGGCCAGGAGTTCATCTGAAGGTCAAGGTCAAGGTGGCCCTCCAAGCTCAGTGGCCAGTGGCAGCATCCAGTTCCTTGCGCTCGTGGGACTGAGGCCCCTGCTTCCCGCTGCTGCCCCCGGGGAGCGGCTCTCAGCTGCTGGGGGCCCCTCTGCTCCCTCTCACGCAGCCCCTCCCCCAGAGCATGTACTCCCTCACGGCCAGCAGAAGCACGTCTCTAAGCCTCGAATTTCTCTAACTTCCCCATCTTCTATCCAGGTCCACCCAAGATAACCTTCCCCTTGACTAGCTCAGAGCTGACTGACAAGGGATCTTGATTCCCCTGCAGAATTCCCTCATCTTTACAAGAGAATGCACCTGGGCGGGGAGGGACATCATGCTCTGCTCCCACTGAGGAGATACGGTTGCCCAGATGCGCCCAGCATGCGGTTGCAACCTCGTGAACCCCCTCAGAACTCCGCCTCCTGCAATCCTGGAGACAGAAGCAGCTCAGGAACAAGGCGAGCACCGTAGTGTGGAGCCTCCAGGGTGGGTGAGGTTTGCCCCGCAGGGGAGGAAGGTGTGCCGGGGATGCAACAGCAATGTCAAGAAAGGAGGGAAATCTGGGTGAATACGTAGAGGCTGGCCAGATGACCAGAGACTGCGAAAACCAGATGGAGAAGTTTGTATTTCATGCTAAAAAAAGCAACCAAATTTAGTTAAAATACCCTAAGTTGCGTAATAGGATCAGATTCTTTACAGTGAAGCTTACGAAAGTAAAATTATCTTATAATTGTATTATAACAAACAACAGAGTTTAAAAATGGTTCCTTAAAAATGAGCCTTAAAAATAAGCAGCCACTTAATTCTCATTTGGTCCCAAAGCCACAAAGCTATCGACATTTTCTTTATGCTGAGGAAGTCTTGGTGGTATTGATTCTCATCCAGCAGCGATCAGGAGGAACAGCCTGTACCTCCTCTTCCCCACCTGCCTCTGAAGCAAATGCTGATCTGATGACATTGTCATGAGGCCTGCTTGCCCTCAGCAGCTTCCTAGTGTGCCCTGGCTGTGGCCATCCAGTGCCAATAAATGGAGGAACATTGGAAGACAGGGAGAAGGGGGAATGGGTTGGAGGAAAGGAAGGGGGGAGGGAGGTGGAGAAAGGCAGCTTAAGGGAAAATGGGACATCTGGTCATGCTAGAGTTCACGGAGTGGGAACAGGTTCTAATCCCTGACCTCCGCAGACCCACGGCCCACAGTCACGCTAGGGTTCATGGAGTGGGAAGAGGTTCTGAGCCCTGCCTGCCACGGACCCATGGCTCACAGTCATGCTAGGGTTCACGGAGTGGGAAGAGGTTCTGAGCCCTGCCCGCCGCAGACCCACGGCCCACAGTCACACTAGGGTTCACGGAGTGGGAAGAGGTTCTGAGCCCTGCCCGCCGCAGACCCATGGCTCACGTGGCCTCACCAACATTGCATCTGTCACAGTTCCAAGTCCTCAGGGATAACATCACAAAGTTATTTTTTTTTCTTTTTCCATTGTAATTTATATGGAATTCGGAACAATAGAAAATCAGAGCCCAAACAGGTGACAAAGAAGTTCATTAAGAGGCTCGTGAACCTGAGAGCACATCCAGAATATCCCCTCATCCTTAAATCTGTGAAAGACGTGACCTCTGGCCCATCTCCTGCAGACACTCACACACTCCCCATCACATAATGTGAGGTACTCACCGTGACCGCAGGCCTGCACCTGAGCTTCCTAGCACTTTACCCTCTTGTTCTGCAGATGTTCCCCTTGAAGAGCTGGAAAAATTCGTGTTTAGGAAAGGCTTTGAAGATGGAAATGAATGCAAATGCAGTTATTGTTATTAAGAAAATTTCAAACTTGGCACACAGAACTTGATGACATTTTAATTAAGTTTCTGATTTTATTGGTCAGGGGGCAAAAGACTTTTTATTTTTATTTTCAAAGCCTAAAGTCACGTCAGGTTCACAGACAGCAGCAGGGTTTACTCGGGATGTTGGGTTCTGCCAGGTGATGTTTGCTCAAAAGCTCATTTCTGACGGCTTCTGAAAGTAGATTGAAGAAAGCGCTCCCCACCGTAGCCTTTCTGGTGCAGAGACTCTTCAGGCATTTTCTTTTCACGTGAGATGTCACACTAACTGAAGCGCTGTAATTTTACTATCTCCTGCTAAGCTCGTCCAGATTGATCATTTCTATCCAAAATTGGCAAGCTTCCCTTCATTTATATTTCAGATTTAAGAACAGGAGAAAATTTGTAGAAAATGGTTTATAGTAGAAACATACTGGTTTAAACTTAACCTACTTGCTATTTGAAACAAGTTCTTTTAGTTAAAGTGGGATTCTTACGTCAAAAATCATTTTAAGAAATTTCCATACTGCATTTTGTGTTTTTAAAGTTGTGTATTTAGTAACATGCAAAAATTCTTGTCCTTCTGAAGACTCCCTTCTGACATCTCTCACACACCCACTCGTATTCAATCCAAAGGTGCATGGGGATACTTGGTGATCTGATTTTGCTGTCAATGTGATTTACAGGTTTCTGGTTTTGCTATCTAGTTGCTCTGTTTTAATATTGGGATTTAGAAAGATTAAACACTATGCCACCCCCACCTTTCACTTTCAACATTTTAAAGACAAATATTTCCTACTTGTGCCTAACAGACCAGACAAATTATCCATCACTATAAGGTCAGAAAAATATTTTTGACTAGCGACATTTCATGTACCCTTTCCCAGGAAGCTACTAGAGAATATATTCTACTAAATTAAACAAATCAATCCAGGAAGAAGACATCGTGAGATGCAGAAAATAAGGGCTTCTGAGAGAGGCGGAGGGAGTTCCTGACACCTGTGAAGGGAAGCCCAAGCACAGAAGCACCCAGCAACTTTAGAAAGTCACCAGCAGATTGGGGCAGGACGCCAAAGGGTAACAGGAAGGATGTCTCAGAACAGAAACGGAATGAGACTGATAAGTACGAATGCGTGGTTGGGAACTAGAAGGAAGTATACGGAAAGCTGAGAAAATGCGGCGGGCGCGGTGGCTCACGCCTGTAATCCCTGCACTTTGGGAGGCTGAGGCAGGCAGATCACTTGAAGTTACTTCGAGACCAGCCTGGCCAACATGGTAAAACCCCGTCTCTACTAAAAATACAAAATTTAACCAGGCATGGTGGTGGGCACCTATTATCCCAGGTACTCCGGAGGCTGAGGCAGGAGAATCGCTTGCACCTGGGAGGCGGAGGTTGCAGTGAGCCGAGGTCCTGCCACTGTACTCCAGCCTGGACAACAGAACGAGACTCTGTCTCAAAAACAAAACAAAACAAAACAAAAAAGAAAGCTAAGACAATGAAAGATGGAGGCAATGATTATCTTCAAGGAAAAAAGTGGTATGAGAAAGAAGTCGCAGTGAAAACGCACGAACAACACCGGGCGGCCTGTAGCACTCACAGCGACGTGCAGCTACGATCATGTAATCTTGTTAATATCACGGGCAGGGATTGAATGGAGACCTGTGTAACTCAGCGGGGACCCAAGCAGTAGAGAGAGGCAGGGATAGGAGCATGAATGAACGAAATATTTATATCCCCATGTAACTGGTGCTGTTGAAATTCTTAAAATTATGCTATAAGCACATGATTCAGAAATTCGGACACAATAAAGGCAGACGAGGAGCAAAGAGCTGTGAGTGGTCGTTTCTGCAGGGGTGTCTGGGGTGGGCGATGACAAGGACATCGGGTTATTATAACACTGGCCAGGTAGTGCCATTTTCTTTTAAAACTACGCAAATGCAGCCAGGCGCGGTGGCTCACGCCTGTAATCCCAGCACTTTGGGAGGCTGAGGCGGGTGGATCACCTGAGGTCAGGAGTTTGAGACCACTCTGACAACATGGTGAAACTCTGCTTCTACTAAAAATACAAAAATTAGCCAGGCACGGTGAGAGGCACTTGTAATCCCAGCTACTCAGGAGGCTGAGGCAGGAGAATCACTTGAACCTGGGAGGTGGAGGTTGCAGTGAGCTGAGATCGCGCCACGACATTCCAGCCTGGATGACAGAGTGAGACTCCACCTAAAAAAAAAAAATCCATCCAATAAAAAACAATGAAAAAACATTATTTGGGAAAAAATTAAATTTTTACCAAGTTTCATTGTAATACAGAAAATAAACTCTTGGTGCAGCCCTGTAGGATTACACAGAAGAAAACCAGCCGTTCGATGCCTTTCTTCGTTCATTCCCAACCAGAAGGTTGTTTCTAACCCAACCAAATATTATCCACAAAGAAGACAGAGCCTCCTGCAGCAGTCTCAGCGGCCTGAGAGCTTAACCAAGGTTTGAGGCCCATCTCCAGGTGATCTGAATATCTGTGCATCCGGGTCTGGTTAGAATGAACCCTCCAGAGGCGTTCTGGGTTGCTCAATGCAGAGACTCTTACCCAGGGTGTCAGCCTCTGAAAGAGACATGTGGCTGGGCTTCCTCCCTGAAGATGGACCTGGCAGGTCTGGAGGCAGGCCCCCGTGATGAACCCTGTGATAAGCCACTGATCAGAGCTCGTGCTGCGTCATGGGACCAGCCACAAGGTCGACTGACCTATAAAGGTCACAGGAGCGCCTCAGGGAGACAGTAGCAAGGTGGGGGCTGGGGAGGGCTCTGTGCTGAGGCTGCAGTTTGAAAACTGTATGGTACTCAGGGAGGGTGTGAGTTATCAGGAGCCTGCCACTGGGCTCAGCCACCAGAACACAAGTTCTGTGCATCCGATGGAGGGGGCTGAGCAGAAAGGAAAAGCCCTCCCTGATCAGGCTGTTCATCGGGCAGCCTGCCAGCCACCTTATACAGATTCTGCCGTTCAGCTGGGGTCTCTCTGCTCCCGGATACTAACCACGCCCACTGGACCATCTTCCCCTAGCTGGGGAAACGCACCACAGAGCCCTTTACCTTCCAGAGCCTTGGCCTGTCTCGATCTCCTCTTCGCCCTGGGCCGGGCCTATCACTCCTGTTTCATGTTTGAAGGCAGCGAGGTGGGTGCCGGGCTCCCGTCTCCCACAAGCCGCCAGCGTCTCAGGCGGGACCAAGCCCAAGCCCATTTGTTCTGGGTCCCTGCGCTTCTCAACCCAATGCTGCCTCTCAACACCACCCACTGGACGGTGGGCCCTGGCATTGCTTCATAAAAGGTGAGTGCCGAGGCACGTGGAGGGCGGCTGCTCTCCCGGGCCTGCTCAAGCCTCTCCGTTTTTCCCAGACTGGTGCTGCGTCTCTGCCTGGCTGCCACAGCTCTTGCAGCTGGACAGTCACAAACCCACATGTGGAGGAACAGCAGGGCTGGGCAGTGCCCTCCTCCTGCATCTGCCCTGCTCACTGCAGCCAAGGGTAGGTGGGCTGGGGTCACAGGAGAGGTGCCCTGGAGGCAAGACGGTGCTGGTGGATCAGGAGTCATGGGGTGGTGGAAACCCAGGCCGGGAAGCACTGCCATCCTACTTTCCACATCCATCCACGGCAGGCAGCAGGGCAGAGGAGAGGGTCCCGCCCTGGACCTGGAGGAGGAGGTGGACCTGGGCCAGGGTCTTCCCTGGACAAGACAGGGAAAGCAAGGGAGACCCAGCAGGATGGGTGAAAGTGCGCTTAGAGAAGGCAGCCCCTCGTGCCTGGCCTCAGGCAAAGTCCTTCTCTGTGGATCCAAGAAGTAGGTACCACGATTGTGCCCAGCTGACAGACAGGCAAGCAGGGGCCTTGGCAGGCTGAGGCATTGCTGCAGGACGCACCAGGCACTTCCCTGACTGCAGAGCACATGTTCTCAGTTCCCTCCTGCTCCATCTTAGCAAGACAGGCCTTGGGGGGAAGTAGGGGAGTGAGGGAAAAGCAGGGTCCCTGTCAGGGAAGCAGGTGTGCCCAGAAACCAACAATACCCATTGTGGGTCCCAGCTGTCCTGAGGTGGGTCAGCCCAGCGGACCACAGGGGCCGCCGGCCTGGGAATGGCCGTGATTAGGAAATGGGCGATGCGGCCGAGGGCCTGTGCTGGCCTCGGGTTCCAGCTGGCTGGGGGGGATTCCCGCCTTCACTGTCTTCAAGTCATGGGATTTTGGACTTGGGTTTTCTCATCAGAAAAATGGAGCAGTGGAGCCCACCATTCACATCCCTGTCTGTTTACAGAAGTGCACAGAGGTGGGTGTGGGATTCCCAGCACGTGGCCTGGTCTCCAGCACCAAGTTCTCCAAGCTGAAGCATGCACTGGTGCAACCTGTATCATGGCATTCGACGTGCTGAGGCTGGGAGCTGTTAACACAACTCCCACAGGGCATCAGAGTTTTTCTTCACCCGTGTTACTAAGGCAGAAACTGGTCTTGTCAATGTTGTTTTGTTTTTGTTGTTTTGAGACAGGGTCTTGCTCCGTGGCCCAGGCTGAAGTGCAGTGGCACGATCCTCCCACCTCAGCCTGCAGAGTAGGTGGGACCACACGTGTGAGCCACCACGCTCGGCTAATTTTTTTACTTTTTGCAGAGAACAGGACTTCCTGTGTTGCCCAGGCTGGTTTTGAATTCTTGGGCTCAAGTGAGCTGCCTGCCTTGGCCTTGCAAAGAGCTGGGATTACGGATGTGAGCTACCGTGCCTGGCTGGTTCTGTGGTTGCTATTGCTGTTTTTGAGACTGAGTCTGCTCTGTCGCCCAGGCTGGTGTGTGGTGGGGTGATCTCGGCTCACTGCAACTTCTGCCTCTCAGGTTCAAGCGATTCTCATGCCTCAGCCCCCTGAATAGCTCAGACTATAGGCACAGGCTGCCACACCCAGCTAATGTGTGTGTGTATGTGTATATATATATATATATATATATATATAAAACTATATATATATATATATAAAACTATATATATATATATATATAAAACTATATATATATATAAAACTATATATATATATAGTGTGTATATATGTGTATATATGTATGTATATACACATATATATGTTTGTATTTTTAGTAGAGACGGGGTTTCACTATGTTGATCAGGCTGGTCTTGAACTCCTGACTGGTTTTGTTTTTTTAAGTGCTTTCTTCTTCATGAGCTCTGTCTTCTGAAATGGAATTCAGAATAATTGAACATGAACATAAAAAGTTATCTCTGGTTCTGGAAACACTATTTCTTTTTTTGTTTTTAATTTGGTAAAGTATACATAACATTCGATGGACCATTTTAACCATTTTAGGTGCACAGTTCAGTGTCATGAAGTATTACACATTCACCCTGTTGTACAGGCACCGCCATCCATCATTCCAGGATTCTACGGCATCCCGAGCTGAAACTCTGTGACCATTAAATACTTAACTCTGTGACCATTAAATTCTCCAGCCCCCATCAAGCCCCATTCTAAGATACTTTCTGTCTCTATGGATTCTACCTCTCTGGGGGCCTCATGTCAGTGGAATCTCACAATATTTATCCCTTGAGTCTGACTTTGCTTAGCAGCATATATTCAAAACCATTCAATTTTTTACATACTTTTCTGGCTTTTAGAGTAGAATGAGGTAATTTTCAGTTACATAAGAATATTTAAATATTCTTATAAGTTACAATAGGTGAAAAAATATTTTAAGGGAAACCATTTTTTTCTTTCTGTTTTAAAAAGCAAAGGGGTGGCCAGGTACAGTGGCTCACACATGTAATGCTAGCACTTTGGGAGGCAGAGGCACACAGATCATGAGGTCAGGAGTTCAAGACCAGCCTGGCCAACATGGTGAAACCCCATCTCTGCTAAAAATACAAAAATTAGCCAGGGGTGGTGGCACACGCCTGTAATCCCAGCTACTTGGGAGGCTGAGGCAGGAGAACAACTTGAACCTGGGAGGCGGAGGTTGCAGTGAGCTGAGATTGTGCCATTGCACTCCAGCCTGGGTTGGACAGAGCAAGACTCCATCTCAAACAAACAAACAAACAAAAAAGCAAAGGGGTGAGAGTTTTCAGTTTTCTAGGAAGTAAACAGTTTAGTTTTACCTTTAAAAGTAAAAAGTTTGGTTTTCATAAATTGAACATTTATTAAAGTGATGTTACGTAATATACAAACGACTTGCTTGAGCGAAGGTGCAAATTACTTTGAATAATGTTAAATTTCTAATTATCATCCACCTCTTATTTCAGATACCCTATCATCTTTACTTTGTTGGAGAGGAGCTACAGTGATAGTCTATGTTAAAGTTACTGTTCAGACAAATGATTCCAACAAATTGCTTTCATTACAGCTAGCGCTCGACTTACGACCATGGTAGGGACCGCGGACCGGTCGTAACACGATTTGGTCGTAAGTTGAGTAGGCTATATGTACAGTTGAAATGGTGTACACGGAGATGGTAGTGCTGCCGGAAGCTGGTCCGCACTTACGCCCAGCTGGGCAACGTTTGCGCTGCCAGACGCGGAGCAGTCGTGGGTAGCGATTGTGGTCGTAAAGTCGAATGGTCGTAAGTTGCATAGGTGGTAAGTCGATCAATACCTGTATTTTATTGGTAATTTTAAGCACCACAGAACTTAGTTGTTTTTCTGGAAGAAAGCTGGAATTAAAATCATTGATCCTTTAGAGAAATATAAAACAAAGGAGAAGGGGGTGTACAAAATGAATAAGAAAATAATTCTTAGCATACTTTCCTGTGTTCTCACTGAGAAATAGAAAGTAAATGGGACATTGAGAAGCAAAATTAATCCTGATTAGGCTCTCTTTGGGACAGGCAGCCTTGTTGCACGATTATCCATTGTTAGGTGTGAAAAGGAGCCAGTGATTGCTCATTGTCAAGGAGAAAAGACCTGGGGGCCACGGCTCACCCAGTCTTGCTCCTGACCTGCATCTGAGCACCTGAAGGAAAAAACTTTAAGAAGAAAAAGACTTGAAGTGGCAGCGGAGACAAGAGTCTCAAAGGTGCGGAATTCAAGAACCCTCAGGATGGGTGTGAAAGCAACAACAATGAGATTCCCTGACAACTAAACCCAGGCATGCCCAGGAATCCCAGCATGTGGTGAAAGTTTTCACGGCAGAGCTCACATCAGCAGTGTCTAGAAGATTAAATCTTGTTATTCTTTGAGACTGGCATTCATGCTAATCCACATATTTTTTATTAAGAAGCACAATGAAATTTAACTTATTCCATTTTTGATACCAGTGTAATGACCAAATTAAACTAGATTTTCAAAAATAATCAGAGGCCCTGCCCCACAAACCACCCGCTCCAGGCACGGGGAGATGTGGGGGCAGTAGTGACTCCGTCTTGGGTGCTGACCCGCCATGCTGACTTCGGACAGGCCCCAGACCTCTGAGCGCTCCCAATTCCTACGTCATTTCCTGTCCCTAGTGTTCAAACAAGTTGGCCTTGATGTTATCACACAAATTATGGGCCATGACACAGAGAGCACTCTTGCCTGTTCTGAACAGCTGCCTTTAATTGTCTAGCAAAGAGCACTTACACCTCACTGACACCTCTTCCCTACCGCACAGGAGCCCTGGGTCTGGGGTGACAGGTGCAGAGACCTGCCTGTCCAGCAGCCACCTAAGACCATGCTTCTGTCTGTAAGTTCCCCAATAAAACATCCTTCACTGACAAACTTGATTGTTCTGACTTATTCTTTGGTTTCTAGGCTCCTTCAGCATTTGGGGGCCTCGTTGCATAGGTGGCCCTTTCCCAGAACAGGAGATCATAGTCTATGTCATGTTCCAGGAGAAACGGCCTGGCAGAGCATGGCATTTGATCTCAGGGACCGTCTGAGCAGGACGTCACTCTCCGCTGCTCTCCTTCACGGTGATGGGAGTCACGTGGGATGGATTTGCACAGGACCCTTTTCACTCTGTGAGTGCTCACCCCATGCCCTTCCTTTATTCTGTTAACACTCACAGCAGTTTATGTATAACTAATTCTTTCAGCATCTGTCGGGCACCACGCTATGCCTGAAGAGAGAAAGGGTTGATAACTGATCATCCACAACAGGTTCAGGTTCAGGCGGGAGACAGACGTGGAGATGAACGAGTCTCAAACCTGCGATTCTGGGGAACCTTTACAAACGCTTCGATCCCACTCCAAACCAACTGAGTCATCTGGGACTACAGGTGTGCACCACCATGCCCAGCTCATTTTATTTTTGTGTGTTTTTCTTGAGAGATGGGGTCTTGCTATGTTGCCTATTTGCCCCACCATGGCCTCTCAAAGTGCTGGAAGCACAGGTGTGAGCCACTGTGCCCAGCCTGGGGAAGTGCTATTTGTTAAAAGGAATTCCCAGAGTGAGTTTAATCCATAACCAGGGTTTAGAAATACTGCTGTGGAAAAATAACTAAGCTTCCCTAAGTGGTGCTATTAGGAATGCTAAGGGGGGAGTGATTAATAACTGAGCCGGAACCCAGGCAGGTGCAGGGAGAGACAGCATCTGAGAGTGACTAAGAGAGGGCCAAACACGGGGTGGGGCAGAAGATTCCAGACCAAGCAACCAGGGAGGTCAGAGAATGGCTGTGGAGAGGCAGAAATTGAGGTTTCCGCCACTAAAGAGCTCCAAGGGCCAGGATCTGTGGCTCACACCTGTAATCCCAGCACTCTGGGAGGCTGAGGCAGGTGGATCACCTGAGGTCAGGAGTTTGAGACCAGCCTGGGCAACACGGCGAAACCCCATCTCTACTAAAAACAAATTAGCCAAGTGTGGTGGTGGGTGCCTGTAATCCCAGCTTACTTGAGAGGCTGAGGCAGGAGAATTGCCTGAACTCTTGGGGGCGGAGGTTGCAATGAGCCAAGACTGCACTCCATCCTGGGAGACAGAATGAGACTCTGTCTCAAAAAAAAAAAAAAAAAATCTCTAGGACCAATCCCTGGGGATATGGTCACCTAACTAATTCTGGACCTGTGGGGATAGTGACTCAGGATGTGTGGATAGCATGGGCCAGTATCTTGGAGGAGCAAGACTGTTTGCCCTTGGAGGCCCAGCTTGACTGCCCTCAGGTAATGGCTCTTTCGAGCACCAAAATGGCAGGTCCCAGGTCTGTATCTACCTACAGCCGTCAGTCCGGCTTCAGGTTTGCCGCCTCAGCTCTCAGTGCAGTCATTCTTTTATAGGAAGATCTCATTTGTCGCTCCCACTCCCTCATTTCCCGCCAGTTCTTTTTCACATAGGGGCCAATGATTCCAAGATTTCTTTGGAAAAAACGGTGGAGGGAGGAATGGAGGACTGGTGTTTATGAGTCTGTGTGTAGGTGAGGGTGTGGCCAGGGTGCAGTCTGAAGCATCCATTTGCAAACCCACAATTTCAAGTCTCGGGGTTGGAACCCTACCTGCTGCCTCCCCCCTCAGGGGTAGATCCCAGTTACCCGAGGCTAATCCCCAACAATTGCATTCCCCTTGGACACTCACTAGTTTGGTGACATGCACTGACTCATTCCCCTGGGACACTCACAAGTTTGGCGACACGCACTGACCTCTGGCCTAAGCTGCTCACCTCATGGCCTCCCCCAGCCTCATGACTGGCCAGGAGTGGACGTGTGATCTAGCCGGTCCACCACAATGATGTCTCTCCTTCTGCTTGGATGTGAAGCACAAAGCCTGTAGGCCCTGTTGTTCTCAGCAGTTAGTTCACTTTTGCACTCACTGAGATGGGCACCAATATATTTCATGATCGTTTAATCAGTCTATGGTCGATTATTTCCAAGATAATCCCCTATAAATTCTCTGCATGATAATCCCTCATAAGGATTAAGAGTTCTCATAGCCGGGCGCGGTGGCTCAAGCCTGTAATCCCAGCACTTTGGGAGGCCAAGGCGGGTGGATCACGAGGTCAAGAGATCAAGACCATCCTGGTCAACATGGTGAAACCCCGTCTCTACTAAAAAACTACAAAAAATTAGCTGGGCATGGTGGCGCGTGCCTGTAGTCCCAGCTACTCAGGAGGCTGAGGCAGGAGAATTGCCTGAACCCAGGAGGCGGAGGTTGCGGTGAGCCGAGATCGCGCCATTGCACTCCAGCCTGGGTAACAAGAGCGAAACTCCGCCTCAACAAAAAAAAAAAAAAAAAAAAAAAAAAAAGAGTTCTCATAATCCCTCATAAGGATCCCTGTCTGTACATGGGATCCTCCCACCATGAAGTGAAATCTGTGTCCTTATCCCTTGAATCTAGTCTGGCCTCGGAATGTATTTTCCCCAAAAGAACATGGTAGAAGTCGTATTCTAAGGCTTCCAAACCCGGGCCTTACAGGCCGTATAGCGTCCGCATGGACCCTCCTGGGCTGCCATGTGAGAAAGCTCGGGCTAGAGCACCGATTGATGAGAAGCCACAGAGAGAGGCAGCAAGGCCAGCCTGCCCCCAGGCTTTTGAGATACCAGCTATGTGACCAGAGCCACAGGAGCCTTCCAGCCCCAGCAGAGCCCCCAGAAGAATGCAGCTGCAGGCCCATCCCAGCCAACAGCAGGTGGAGCAGAAGCGGCATCTCGCCGATTCCACAGGGTCCCAAGAAATGGAAACTCACTGTTGTTTCCACTCCTGCACTCACGGTCATTCATCACACAGCCAAAAATAACTGACTCACAGGACATCTTAGCCTGCTCAGGCTGCTATAACGAAATCCCTTAGATGGCAAGGCATACACACGAAAGTTTGCTTTCCACAGTTCTGAAGGCTGAGAAATCCAAGATCAAGGTGCCAGCAGATCTGCCATCTGAGAAAAGCCCTTTGCTCACAGATGGCCTCCTCTAAAGGTTTTCACATGGCAGAAAGGGCAAGCAGGCTCCCAAAAACCTCCGTTTTAAAGGGCACTAATCCCATTCCTAATCACCTCCCAAGGCCTTCACCTCTTAATATTTGGGATTAGAGATTAGGTATTTGTGATTAGGTTTCCACATGTGAATTTGGGAGGTCACTTTCAGACCATGGCATAGGGTGAATTGGACTCTCTGTTTTTTAATGGTCCTGACTTTTTTTCACAGATTTACAGAGAAGATGCTATGTTAGAAACAGAAAATCCAACTCATGTGGTTTCAATGAAGATGTTGTCTCTCATAGCAGGAAATTCCAGGTGAGGGCAGCAGGATTTGGGGGAACTGCCTGATTGTGTCGCTGAGGACCCCTGCTCTTCTCATCTTCTCAGGTGGCCATCCCCAGGGTGAAGATGCTCTTCCAGCCCCCTTCTCTCGAGGGTGCAAAGGGCTGCGGAGTACCAGGCATTGCATCCAGACAGGGCATGCAACGTCTTCCAGGGAAAAAGGAGCATTTCCTCTTTACACCCTTGTAAGAGTGAGAAAACCTTTGCCAGACATCCCCCTGCAGGCTTCCTGTTGGGACTCATTGACTTGAGCTTGTTTGAAGCCAATCATTGGAAAGAGAAATCGAGTTACCAACATTTTCTCAAAAGAGATAGAGTTTACTCTTAGCCACAGAGAGGGTGGATACCTGAACCGGCAAGGATAGAGACTGCATGGCTGCCACACTGGTAACAAAGGGTGTGTTTCACTTCAGGACAAAAACCAATTCGCATTTACCACTGAACAAGCAGACACTCCCGCCGGGCAGCCTTGATCTAGCGCCTCCTCTGGCTGCGCCTCCACCCCAACCCCACAGTCACAGTTTACAAGGTGGAAGCTTAGTCAAAATCTGCTCCAGCAGTCAGGGGTCCTGCAGGAAACAGGAGGTGTTCTTGGGAGGGGATGTGGAAGCCAGTTTGATGACCGGACGGTTTGCTGTGGTGCGGTCATGGTTCCAGGACCCTTCCAAGGGGGCCGTTATTCAGGGACAGCAACAATGGCAGGCCGACAGCCTGTCTCGCCTTACAAGGCATGGGGGTGGGGAGAAGTTCTGTTCGTAGAGCCTGGATGAGTTATGCAATGGAAAGGGCACCTAGGAAGAACGGTAGCCACAGAGGGACACCAGCACCGGCTGGTGTGGGGACAGGCCGGGAAGGAGAGGCCGGGAAGGAGGGGAGGAGGGTCCCTGCCTCTCTCCCACCCGGTCTGCAGCGGGTGCCTCTGTGGGTGAGGTCCGCCGAGGGGCCACGGGCTTCCTGAGACAGGGCAGGTGGAGCAGGCCGGAATGGAAAATGGGGAGTCAGTTGGTGCTTTGGCCGACCAGAAATGGGAGCCGCGTTTAGTCACTGTGGCCACTGTTCCCTAGTACTCATTTCTGTTCGTCTAAAAAGTGGCTGATGCCCTTTCGTTTCCACAAGCACTCGAGAGAACATTCACGTTCAATCGCATTCCTGAGACCCAGGTGTGGCAGCGGTCTCCACGGGCCATCAAGAGGCGTTGGCTCTCTGGTGTCATCAGTGACATCTGTGGCAGGAAGACGGGAGGCTGGAAACCAAGTGTCTCAGTTCAGTCGAGGCCGCGCACTGGCCGTGGGGGAACAGGGGCACCTCTGGGACTGAACCGCGCTGTCTGTGTGGCACCGAGTTCTCAGTCCAGTTCCCAGCCAGCAGCGCTGGGGCATGCCACGGGGAACGGCAGACCAGCGAAGCCGCGCTCCTCTTCGTGGGTCACCCACCGCTCAGGCCACCAGAGTGTCTTCTGCTGTCCCAGCTCTGGGGCCTGAGGGCCAGAGGCCAGGCCCGGGAACCACCCGGTTCGGAGCCAGCGGCTTCCTGTCGCAGCTCGCCTCAGCCTGAGGCCGGCCGGGGGCAGCCACCTGAGGAGCGCCCCTGGGTCACCACCTGCAGAGCAGGAGACGCCTGCGGGCTCCGGCGCCACGTTCAGGGGCGAGACCCAGCCTCGGCTCAGGGGACCTCCCCCTCGCCTGGCTCCGCGCTCCCCCCGCGGCTTCCGCCCCGCGATCTCCCCGCCACCTCGAGCCTTCCCGGCGGAGGATAAAAGTTTCCCTGCAGGAGCCCGGGAAGGCAGCCCCGGGACCCTGGCCGAGCCTCCGGTCCCCGGTGCCGGGCCCCGTCCCCGCCCGCCCGCGCCTGCGCCCCGGGCGGCGGAAGCAACAGGGAGTCCCCGCCGCAGCCTCTGCCCTCCGCCCCCGGGTCCCGGCCCGGGCGAGCCGCGAGGGGGCAGGGCGGGCGCGGGTGCGACGCGGTGTGGGCGCGGGGCGGGCGGGGACGGGCGGGGACGGGCGCGGGGCGCATGCTCACTCGCGCCGGTGACGTGCGCGCCCGGAGCAGGGGCAGGAGCCCGCGGGGCCCGGAGGCTCCAGAGGGCGGCGGGCCGGGGAGGAGGAGACGCGCGAGGAGCAGAGCGCAGGCTCCGCCGCGGCCCGGGCGCTCCGGCCGAGCCAGCCCAGCGGGCGGACCCACGGGGAGGAGGCGCCGGCGCGCGCGGCCCCCAGCAGCCGCCCGCGGAGCAGCCGCCGACGCGCGGGGCCGCGGACCCAGCCTTCGCCGCCTGGCCGGGCATGAGCGCGGAGGGGCCGCGGCCGCCCCCTGCACCGCCCGGCGCGCTAAGGCCGTGACCGGAGCGGGGGGCGCGGCCGCACTCGAACCCCGGAGCCCATGGGCGCGCCGAGCCGGGCGCGGGGGCGCTGAGCGGCGGAGCGGGCGCGGCCGGAGGAGCCATGGACTGCAGCCTCGTGCGGACGCTCGTGCACAGATACGTGAGTGCTCCCAGAGCGGGCAGGGACCCGGCGGGCAGGTCGGGGGGACCCGGGCACCACACGCGGGCCGGCCGCGCAGCCCCGGCGTCCCGGAAGAGCTCCGAGGTCGGGGACGCCGGCCGCCCCGGGGACGACGGGGATGCTGGGGAGCGGCCGGGGTTGACACCCTGGGGCTTCCGACGGGGTCCAAGTGACACCGCGCGGTCCCCGTCCCGGGCCGCCACCTGCCCCCGGGCCGCAGCCGCCTTCCACTCCCTTCTAGCGCGCGGCGCTCCGGTGGTCCTTGGGGAGCCTGGCTGGGGTTCGAGCCGTCCCAGCGGACCGGGCGCCCCGAGGGAGCCGACTTGGACCCGCCGGGGCCCGGGTTCGGGAAGGAACCTTAGATGCGGCTTCCGCGCAGCCGTGTCTGCGAGGAGATTAAGGGTTTGGGAGGAAGTGTCTCACTTGTGCAGAAGAAGCTGGCGGTTGTGTTTGTTCCTCAGCACCCCGGGGGATTCAGAGCGGAGTGTGCAGTCGTGTTATTTTTTTACCTTAAAGTGAATAATTAGATCCGAAGCCCGGGGTCTCGTTGGTTCCCCTAGAACCTGCCCCTTCAGTGACCAGCCGCTGGAGAGCTCAGGAGGGAAGGCTCCGAAGGGGAAAAGTTGGTTTTGTTTTACACCGGAGGAGGGGAAACCGGCGTCGCTGGCGTTAGGTGTGAAAAGGGGTGTGTGTAGGAGAGGAAGAAAACTGTCCCAAGCACAGCGCTTCCTGCCCCCGCCTTGCACAAGAGGCTTCATTGTTCCACAGCGGCTGGCGGTCAGCGGTCAGTCACAGGTTCGAGAAGTTGCAGGCACCGGCTTTGGTACCAGAGAGGGCAGAATTATGGGAACTTTGTTTCCTGGCATAGGAATGACCTCAGGCAGTCTTTCATATTTATGAGCTTTCTTTAAATAGGAGACCTTGGCCAAAGATAGGTTTCTTTTCACTTGGGGATGCCAGATCAATCAATGCTTTCCCCCGGATTTATTTACTAACCGAAAACCTCGGAGAGTCCAGCGAGCCTGAGTCCAGCTCGCCTGTTTCCTGGTGTCGGGGAAGCCGTAGGAAGCTCAGCCTGCTTTACCTAAGGGGAGAGAACTCACCTCTGGTGATTCTGATGACTCTGGATGCTAGATCCTGAAAGGCTTAGCTGCAGAAGCCTCGTGTTATTCCCGCACTGACGCCCCAGCCCCCAGTTCCTGTCCTAATGTTAATGTGAGTGGTAAGCATCATGCAATACCTGCGTTTCTCTATGGTAATGTTATAGAAGACCCGGTAACAGTGACTGTAGGTGACCTGACGTGTAAAAAAAATGCTTTACTGGGCAGGAAGCTTCTGTTCCCAGTTGTGTCACTCGGAAGTGTGGGTCCCTAGACAATTCATTTTCCTGCCGTGTTTCCTCCGAGGCACATGGAAGAGGGAAGGGGCCAATATTCACTTTACCTGCGCCCACGGGGCTCCCAGTTCACTCGGTTCCCTCCTGACATTCGGTGTGAAAAGGGCGGGTCATGTTGTAGGGCTCCTGGGCAGCCTCTCTCTGTAGAAATGAGAGCTGCATGGGCCAGCTCGGCTCACCCTGTGGAGAATCTTGCCTTCCCGGCGAGTTCCTGACCCCTTCTTCTTGGGGCGGGCGGAGACAGACATCCAGTTTTGATGCTCTTACTGGCTTCCCGTCTCCAAACCTTCAGCTGTTTTCTGTTACGTAGATCTATATGTGTTTGCGTAGCTCACAACTTTAATTCCCCTTTGCTATATTATTACGCTTGTGGCATCACATTTTCTCGTAATCTAAGGGGTAAAATATTCTTGAATGAACTTTTCCATGGTATATATTGTTTGATAACGTCTCAGGAATACAAGCTAGGGGATATGATTATTTCTGTTTTTCTCATTCCACATTTTTTTTTCCAGTGTATTCATCTGGCTGCCTCACCCGTATTTACACAGAAAACCATTCATTTCTATAATTTTAATTTCATGTCTATGGTATGAAACTAATTTGACTTTCCAGAAACAGCCATGATCTGTTTTCTTGTAATTTCATTATCTTCCACTGTGTAGGACTAAATTATATCTCCTTTTGTTACAGGAAAAAAAGAGTCTGGGATTGAATACTCACATTTCCTTATGCTCTCCTTATGCGACCTATTTGATAAAAAAGGATAAACAGGCCCTCTTCCCTCCCAGTGTTCACAAAGTCAGAATTCCTGGGACAAAGAAAGCTTTGCAGCTACTTCTGATGTGTGAGGGTCACTAAAAGATAAAGAAGTCATTGGAAAACATTGCTGTAGGCATATTATTGTGGGTTAACTCCGGAGAGATAGAAGAGGCAAATGAGTGAGAGAACAGTTGAACGTTAGGCGGTGTACTCCACACTCTGGGTTCTGGTTGTTTGGGTGTTTGGATGGACAAGGAGCCACTTTGTATTTGTACAAAGAGATACTTTGTATTTGTAAATGGTGTAGTGTTTGTATACCACGAGGAAGTGCATGTGCCCACAGGGTAATGTATGCTTCATGGAGTTGGTGTATGTGCTGTGGTGCGGCGGTGGAGAGTGTGTGTGCCGTGGGGTGGTGTCTGAGCTGTGGGGTGGCGTGTGTGCCGTGGAGTGGTGTGTGTATTGTGGAATAGTGTGCGTGCCGTGGGGTGGTGTATGAGCTGTGGGGTGGCGTGTGTGCCGTGGGGTGGTGTGTGTATTGTGGAATAGTGTGTGTGCCGTGGGGTAGTGTATATTCCATGGGGTGGCGTGTGTGCTGTGGAGTGGTGTGTGTATTGTGGAATAGTGTGTGTGCCGTGGGGTAGTGTATATTCCATGGGGTGGCGTGTGTACCGTGGAGTGGTGTGTGTATTGTGGAATAGTGTATGTGCTGTGGGGTAGTGTATATTCCATGGGGTGGCGTGTGTGCCGTGGAGTGGTATGTGTATTGTGGAATAGTGTATGTGCTGTGGGGTAGCTCGTGTGCCATGGCGTAGCATATGTATTGTGAGGTAGTGTATTTGCTGTGGGGTGGCGTATGAGCCATGGGGTAGTGCGTGTGCCATGCGGTAGTTTGACCTACATGATGTAACACTTTAAAAACATTTTTAGGCTGGGTGCAGTGGCTCACGCCTATAATTCCAGCACTTTGGGAGGCCAAGGTGGGCGGATCACCTGACGTCAGGAGTTTGAGACCAACCTGGTGAAACCCTGTCTCTACCAAAAACAGAAAAAATTAGCTGGGCATGGCGACGTGCACCTGTAATCCCAGCTATGTGGGGGACTGAAGCAGGAGAATCGCTTGAGCCTGGGAGGCGGAGGTTGCAGTGAGCTGAGATCCCACAATTGCACTCCAGCCTGGGCAACAAGAGTGCAATTCCATCTCAAAATAAATAAATGCTTTTTTTTTTTTTTTTTGAGATGGAGTTTTGCTCCGTTGCCCAGGCTGGAGTGCAGCGGCGCGATCTTGTCTTACTGAAACCTCCGCCTCCTGGGTTCAAGCAATTCTCTGGCCTCAGCCTCCTGAGTAGCTGGGATTACAAGCACCTGCTACTGTGTCTGGCTAATTTTTGTATTTTTAGTAGTGGGGGGGGGGAGCGGGTTTCAGGATGTTGGCCAGGTTGGTCTTGAACTCCTGACCTTGAGATCCACCCACCTCAGCCTCCCAAAGTGCTAGGATTACAATAAAAGCATTTTTAACAGCGTGGGTGGAGAGCTGATTCCATTTCCTCTTCACCTGTGTTGTGAGCTGAGCAGCACAGATTCAGGTAGTTTAAGTTCCTAGAGAAATCAGGGCAGCCTCAGAGGGTGGTTGCGTGCTCTCCGGGCAGTGGCCTGAATGCTGAGTGGGAGCCTCCCCTGCCCTTCTTAGCTATGTGGCCTTGGGCAAGTGGCTTAATTCCTTCTGCCTCAGTTTTCTCAGCTGAGGGTAAGAGCGGTACTCATTTCATAGCTATTGTGAGAGCTGAATGAGGTAATCTGTGTGGAAAACCAAGAATGGGACCTGGCTCCCAGGAAGCCCTCGGTCCGTTTGTCATGCCTGGCTGCGAACAGCCGAGTCCCTGGGTAGGTTTGGCTGGGGAGAAGGCAACGCTGTGGCCTGCCAGTTCTGTTGCTCAGCCACCCGTGGGTCCCAGCCTGCTGGCATTGTGGGTCACAGGAGAGGTAAACCAGGCGCGCTGACAGCAGGCATGGTGTGGAGGTCAGGTAGGATACACAGAGCTTTCCACTGCTGTGGTAGCATGGCCCTCGATCTCTGTGAGGCTGCACACCCTAGCCTGGGCAGCACGCTTCCCTCCCTCTTCGTTTCCATGCCTCCATTTAGGGCGTTTGCGTTTTCCTCGCAGTTCTGTGGCTCGAGAGCTCAATCTTGTCATGGCCCCGTAATATTTTTTCAGTGATTCAGCCCAGATACTCCTTGTTAGTTTTGTGCTTCTGTTTGTTTCACCCTTACCATTTTTGCTTCCTAACATATTTGACCTTCTAAGATGGAAAACATTGAAAGGTCTGAAGGCTTTCTTTGCTGACAGTAGATGCTTGATTTCAACACAAACTGTTACTTTAGACATTTTTTTTCTATGAGAAAAATAAACATTTTTGCTTCCTGAGAACTTTAAGCATTGCTGTATTGGAGTGTGGTAAACCTTCTAGAAAGTCCAGCTATTTATATGTATCCGCTTCTTTATTCCCAAACGGTGTGTAATGTGAGCATCAGTGTTCAACTGTAATATTGCCTCTTCTGAAAGACAGACTTATTCATTCGACTCCGTTATGCCAGCCCCTGTTTTAAAACTTCAGAAATGCCACATCGTTTTGGAGTTTCGTTTCCTAATCCAGGATTAGATGATCCAGTGGGGCCTTGCTGTTGTTCAGCCGCTGGAGTCTACACCACAGGACCACTACGTTAAGCCGCTTTGGCTGCCAAGGTCTTCAGGTATTTGAAATAAGTGAGTCCTGAGGCGTAGAATCCAAGACTAATAATCTGCCTCCAGCAGTGTGGTGG